AAAAAAAAAAAAAAAAAAAGAGCAAGTCTGGCCCTGACTGTCTCTGGTTTCCTGTCTTAACTTGTGACTGCTCCCTCTTCAATGTGCCCGACCAGGAAGCCATCCCCCATTAGGTTCTCACCAGAGGCCAAAATGATGGGGCTACCCGATCTTTCTGCTTCCAAAAATGTGAATTAAATAAACCTGTTTTCCTTATAAAGAACCCAGCCTCAGGCATCTCACTGTAGCAACAAAAAACTACTGCAGGACAGTGGCATCATTAACTTAGGCTCAGAGATCAATAAGAAGAAGTCACTGTGGATGGCAGGATAAACTGAATTGTGAAAATTATTCCACTTCTTAAAAACAAGAAGAAAATTGTTCCATTGTCTATCACTGCTATCTATGGTAGCATGCAATGATGAGCCTAAAAGAAGTTGCTTTCTGTGGAAGAGAAGTAAAAGACACTGCACCTAACTACATGGAGTAAGAAGCACCATGCTGGAGGCCCTGCTCAAGTTTAATGGACACAAAGGGTGGCTAGTGATTAAGAAGTTCCCAGAGACAGTATCATCAGCCCGGGCTTGAAGTGGGAGCAGGCTTCAGATGGGCACGGAGGTGGGGGCATTCTGGGTAGGGGGCATGTGAGCAAGGCTGGGGTGTGACCCCACAGAGGATCCCAGAGACAGAGGAGTGCATGGGGCCAGCAAGAATAAAGCAAGAAAGGCAGACCAAAGCCGGACTGTGAAAATCCAAGTTGCCATCCCAGAGAGTTCTTACCTTTGTAGGAAAGTCAAGCACAGCTTTTTTTTTTTTGGGGGGGGGGTTGTTTTTCTCCAGTACCAGGAACTGAACTCACGACCTTGCGCTTGCCAGGCAGGCGCTTTGCCGCTGAGCTAAATCCCCAGCCCCAGCTAAATCCCCAGCCCCTTTGCACAGCTTTTGAAAATGGGTGAGACACTATCAAATCTGTGCTTTAGAATACAGTACAGAGCTCAGAAGCCCAAGGTGCAGCAGGGGTAGTGCCAGGTGACCCCCGCAGTAGCCCAAGAAAGTGACAGTACCGGCGTGAACAGGGTGGTGATCCAGAAGAAAGGGAAATGGGACAGGCAAGGAGTGACGCGCACGGAGGCCGAGAGTCTGCGCGGTTAGAGGCGGACAGCACAGTCCAGAGACCTAAGGAAGTCAGGAGGCGGCCCAGACAGGTGCCTGTGAGAGAGCTCCAGGAGGATGAAACGGGGGGATCAAAGATGAGCAGTTCACAGCTTGGGTGCCTACTGATGCCATCGTCCAAAAGGGAGAAAGAGGCACACTTGCTGTGAGAAGTGTTTTATTTATTGACACACGATCTCACTTACAATCCAGTCTGGCCTTAAACTCTGGATTCAAACTTGCGAGGTTACCAGGCTTCAGATGGGCAGGGAGGAGAGGGCATTCTGGGTAGAGGACACAACAGGAGCAAAGCTGCCTCCGTTTCCTGAGTGCTGGGATTACAGGTTCATGCCACCAGGAGAAGTGTTGTAGATGGAGCAGGCTCAGGTGCCTGCTTTGGAGTTTTAAAATCAACTTGCTGTCTGCCTGGCTTGTAGAAGTCCCCCCACAGCCTCCTGCCTGCTCCTGCTCCTGATCTCAGCTTCTACAACCCCTCCTCATAGGGGCCTCCTCCAATCACCAATCCACAAGAGCTACCAGGGGCTGGGGTGTGTTCAGTGGCAGAGCGCTACCCTAGCACGTCCTGAGTTCCATACCCAGCTCCGCAAAGACTAAAGTGAAACGACCCGGCGGTCACATCAACGAAAAGTGCCCACTGCACCCCACCGCAAAGCACTTGTCATTTGCCTGTCGCCACTCTCTGCTTCACCCGCACCCTACCCCTTCAGCCCTAAGGACAAGAGCTCTGTCCCACGCAGGCCCCACTCCCAGGGCCTAGAAGGGCAGACAGTTCACGTCTGCTTGTTGAATTAAAAGGAATGACAAAAGTGAAAAAGGAGTGAGAAGCCTCTCCCCAGCCCCGGGGAGGCAGAGAGGATGAACTCTGCGCCGTTGGAGGCGGCATCGTCCCTACTGTACCTATCCTTGTCCCATCCCTCCACACCCCCCACACCTCCCCGAGCCTGCACCCGACCCTTTACAAACATTTCCTGCAAGGTATGCTCGCGTGGACCCTCAAAGTCCCTATTCCCGTTCTCCAGCAGCGCTCCCGCCGGGTCTGGTCCACGGCTCGCCCCGCCCCCGTCGTCTCGGCAACGGGGCGCCGCAGGTGCGCGCAGGCGCCGTTGGTGCGCGGGGCCCGGCGGC